GGCAAGATGAGAATAGGGATCTGATTAGAAAACCAAGTATTTTTGTGACAAAATGTATTTGTGGTTCTTCCCTGGCTATTTTCTACAATGCTATGACAAGGCTGTATTGCTCCAGTGGTAACAGGACATGAAATAATCCTTTTTCTGGTGGCTCCTGTGTGTTACAGACTCCCTGGCACCCAGAGCCCATGGCAGATCTTACTCTCCAAGAAACTTAATTTCCCAATGTATATTTCTGGTTCCTTCTTGGAAAGGGTACACAAGGATTCAGCATTCCAACATCACCTTCCCCACAGGGAATCACAAGGACTTACCTCCACAGTGAAGCATCCCAGTGTTTTTTGTCACTTCTAGGTCTGCCAGGCTGAATTTCAGCTGTCAGCATGCAGTGGGTCACTCTCTGCTCTAGATCTGAGGTAGGCAAGCAGTTTGCTCCTCTGTCAGACCTTCCAGAACCAGCCCTTTGAGGTATCTCAATGCATTTTTATGCTGCTCTAAAAACTGCCCCATTAATGTCCAGCTCTGAGTAAGAACCACAGCAGGACTGGAGCTGCCTCAGAACAACGGGGGTAAAATGCTGGCCTTGGGCAGTGGCTTCAGGTGTTCTTTATTTTAATATCCTGTGCATTAGGGTTTTTTTTTTTAAAACCAATATGCACACTTCTAAAAGTCAGGCTGTCTCAATGACATCATGCAGATTCGCCTTTTTTTGGTTTCTTTTGCACAGTTTTTGGATCCTCACACATCCCAAGCTCCAGCATTTCATCAAGGAGACATGTCTGCAGGCAGTGTGACAGCTGCTGCCTGGCTCCTGGAGCCTGCCACGCTTTATTTGGGTCACACAGAGGATCTTTGCTTCCCCTTGAAGCAGGTAAAATGTCTGCTCAGCTCTGAGGGGGGGGGATTGCGCCACTAAAGCAAAGCTGGTTTACAAGGGAAACTGTGAATTGAGAACTTCCCCCAGCACGTTTGTAATCACCTGCAGGCCTGAGGGAGGGGAAGGTGAATTCGGCCCTCACTGGGCACCAGTGGGACGTCACTGATCCTAATGTGGTGTCACGGTTTGAAATTGGCCCCCCTGAGAGGCTGGGGGGGCTCAGGGGTGATTGGGAGCCAGGGCAGTGTTCCCTGGAGGGCTAATCACCATCCATGTTGTTCACTTCTGCTCAAAATCATATATCACAGCCCCGGAAGCTGTTGGCAGTCTTGGTTGTTGTGCTGGTGGTGTCTGCTGCGGGTAGGTGTTGAAGGCCAGGGGGTGACTGGGCTCCTTCTTCCCCTGCAGGGGCGTGAGGGGAGCCCTGCGGCCCCCCTAACTCTGCCTAGGCCAGAGTTGGAGACAGCATTGAGTGAGTGCCTGTCTGTGAGGGATGCGCCTCACGAACAATGGTAAGTGGGAGGGAGAGAGGCAGGCCCTGCAGCCAGGCCCTCATCTTCTTCCCCCCACTTTGCAGCCAAGCTGCAGAGCAGGGCTGGTTTTCCCTCTCCCTGTTTAATGAGAGTGGATTTGAGGCTCAGCACTGGAGCAGAGCCAGGTGGATGGGCCAGAGGAGGCTCGATTGCTGGGGAGACAATCCCAGGCAAGAATTGGAGACGGACCCCAGAGAGAGAGGGGGGCCCGGAGGATGTCTCTGCTGTGAACTAAAATGCAGGACAGCCGAAAACCTGAGGATAAATCAACATTCCAGGACGTGGACACTTGATAAGCTGAACTACACTGCAGCAGCCCATGAACCGAGGTATGAGAGGGAGAAATCACCAGCAGCAGAAGAGCAAGGACTCAAAGCTGTCTTCTTGGACTTCGTGAGGAGAGAAACTGCAACAAACCACTGGAACTTGGTGAGGGGGGAGCGTTCAGGAGCCCAGAACACTGCCACAGCAAAAGACTGTGTTATGTATCAGCCTTGAAAAGCTGCTCCTGGACTAAAGGAGTTAAAAGGAGGGGCTTGAAAGGACTGACTGATAGAAATGTAATATATATATAGTTGCCTTTAGTTTGTATAGTATTTATTTGTGTAAATAAATGTATATACTTCCCCCTTCCCCTACAGAAGCCTCTAGTCTGAAAGTTTCTCTCCGGTGTTAGGATAATTGTGGGAAGGGGCGGGGGAAGCCTGGAAATTGGATTTTAGATTTCTAATGTGGCTCAAACTGCCACATGTGGGTCATCACAGCCTGAGCAGGGAGTGCAGCCTCACCACATCCCACCCAGGGCAGCATCCTCACACAGGGACACTTCCCATGTCCAGTGGGAGACGGAATTACCTCCGTGTCACTGCCTTTGTGGAGGTAAAACTAGAGGAATAATGCAGCCTTCAGGCCACTTTCTAGTCATGGTGAAGTTTGCTTTCAAACTTTTGCAAGGGAGCTTTATGGTGATCACTGGTTCTGGTAATATTTCAACAGGAGAATGTTTTGCTCTGAAGTTTCCATCAAGTTAGAAAAATCCCATTAAGAACTGAATCCAAGTTCTGTCTCATTTACAAGCAATTAGAACTAAATCAATACTAATAGTAGGTAACTGCTGGTGCTTACAAAGAATCAATAGTACTAACTCAAGGAGTTCAATACTTCTGAAATATAATTATTATAGAGGAAAATATCGCTGAAGTTTCTTATCCAGAAAAAACCCTACATTGCAAAATCATTTTGGTGTGATGGAGTATCCAGAATAGCAGCTTCCCAAATAAAGCTTTCCTAAGCCTTGCTCTTCAGCTTGTGCTGTGATATGTGGGTGTCAGCTTGGTCTGCTCCTTGCTGTTCTGAGGGGTGCTAAGTTCCAAATATAATCAGGGCTTTCAGGGCTTTGGGTTGGGTTGAGCAAAAAGCTACAAACTATAAAAGCATCTACATCTTCATTTTGAGGCCCCACAGTAGGATGGACCTGCAAGTAAGAGCAGAATCCAGTAAAAGTGGTTGAGTTTGATATGTGACCTCTGCAAAGTTCCTCAGCCTTACAGGATAAGGACACAAACCCATAAACCACAGGCAGGGCAGGTGTTTGCTGAAACATTCACTGATGTCTCACTGGGAAGTTTGGTAGGACAAACCATTTTGTGAACCTCCTGCAAGTTTTGAGTCCCTAATAAGTGTGACCCAGTTTCTTATTCCACGACTGAACAATTTGCACAGCTCTAAATATAAAACTGTTGATAACATATCCATGTTGGAGGCAAAGGGAGTTTGCTCCAGGAGCTGCACTGGGCAACATGTTGTGTCTTTCCAACCACACCACATAATCCCACTTATAAAAGATGAATCAGGCACGGCTTGTCTCCCTTTTTTCATACCCACACACAAATAAACATGAAAGCCCACGTTGAAATTATAAATATATTTGTGTTCTTTATAATCATGGCACTACACAGTGAAAATCATGTCATTTCGTTTTTTTCTCTTGAAGGAATCAGAATAGAACAAGACAGTATTGATCCAGAATATCCTCTCACTGTCCCACTTCATTCTGTGTCTGTGTGTTCTCAGGAATAACAATCCTAACACTGGAAGCAGTAAGTGCATTGAATAAGCTGGAGAGCTAAGAGAGAGAAACACTCTCAGCCTGGTGTGACCTCAGCGTGGTGCCAACCCCGGGGCAAACTCTGTCAGCCAAAGGAGCAGCTCCAGAGGTGCCAGGGAAGTCAGAGTGCCATGGGATCAGAGCCCCACCCAGGGAACTGCTCTGAGCAGCCCCAAGGCAGTGCCCCCCTGGCACAAGCACTTGCAAGAGAGAAATGGTGATCTTGGGGTTCTGGGTGGTGACACTGAGGCACGGGCAGAGAGTGATTTGCTGAAGGTCCTCCAGCTGATCCCTGTGGGATGGGACAACACCCAGCAGTGCTGAGTCCTGGTGTCCCTCCTCAGCCCTGACCACACAGGGGGATTCCATCCTACTGAGCAAGGCAGGGTTTTAATCAAAGAGTGTTTTCTTTTAAGAAATAATAGCATTTACAGTAGTGAAACAAATGCTACTTTTTATCAGCTCTAATTATTTTATAATAGCATACAGTCCTTAGCTGCTTATTACTATGTTGGTCATTACTTCAAGCCCTCACAGCTACTCTAGAGAATAATTTAAATACACAGAGCTTTAAAAAAATATTTCCGTTACAAATATTTTAAAAATATACTTATCCTAAAAAGCTGTCCAGCACTATTCCAAAAATCTCTTGTAATAAATGTCTTTTTTTAATTTTAACAAAAATATCTACCATCATATAGAAGAGCTCAAGTTTTGACAAATCTATAGTACAGTCAGAAATATCTTGGGCCAGATTTCACTCTTGTTTATACAGTTGCCAATTTGGATCCTGGTGTTCATTTCAGTTGGGTTATTCTGGTATAATCAGGAGCAGAATATAGCCCTTAGTGTTTTAAAATAACTAAATGGACTGGATACTGCAACAGTTACTGGTGCTGAGCACTACAGGGAGGGAAATCCTTTACTTCATTGCATCTAAAAATGCAAAAGGATGTTATATTTAGTATTTGTGCCATGACCAAAGAAGTGCCAGGCATCTGCAGTGGATGACTCAGACCCAGAATCATATTCACTTATAGAAAAAATTTTTTTTGGCTGAATGGTGCCTGCAACTGCTGTCATTAAATGGGGGATGGATGTCTGGGGAGAACCTTTGTAGGGAGAAAATGCCAACCTTCCTCTCATGCTTTCTGCAATTCTAGGAATCATCTTAATTGCATTTTGTCACTTGGAAAGCCGTGTGAGTTTAATAGAATCTCCCACTATTAGATCTAGGAAGGGGCTGTTTGAAATTACTTCTGTATTTTCCAGCTGAAACGCTTCCACCCTTCCAGTCCTTTTCAAAGTGCATTTAGAACAAGATTTAAGTACTTATAAGAATCTGCATCTCATCAGGACAATCTGGAAACTGGGAACTTGTCTTTTAAAACACTGAAACACTTTTTTGGCCTTTCCCCCCCCCCTTTTTATTTCCAGTCTTCAACACCGGAAGTTGTTGGGGTTTTTTTTGCTTTTCCTCCCTTTTTCTTCCAATCCTCAAATTTAAATGCAGTGTTTGATTAAGGATCAAAATTAACCAGGGCTGATTGCATCAGTGCAAGCAAAGCTGAGAGTCCCAACTCTGCCACTGCTGCCTGTGACCATCACTGATTAGAGGGATCCTCCCACCCTGTGAGCTCATGTAAAGCTTTTACTCTGCTCCTTTTCTTCCTAGACTTTGGCTGATGATCTAACAGCTTATAGACCAAGCAAATTTAAAGATATAGACTAAGTTCAGTCCTCACTGTTGTCTTCATCATCATCATCATCCTTGCTGGGAGCACACCTCTGGAAGCAGTGCACCAGGGTGGCCAGGAAGAAGCTGGACAGGATGGCGGCGATGGAGACGGCGACCCCGGAGAAGATGATGATGAAAAGGTCTGTCAGAGACAAACTGAACTTGCATTCACTGAAGCTGACCTCAGATAACTCATTCAGGAAGATCCTCCTGTTCTCCACAGGCAGGGAGCACTGGATTTCGTGGAGACCTGCGAAGAAGAGGAGAGGGAAACAAATCAGTGGAATATCCAGGAATCCTTCTGCTGCTCCAGGGCAGAGGCTGAACGGCTGAGGGGAAGCTTTAGGGTTAATTCTGGTTTGTGAATTTGTTCAATATTTAGGAAAAGTTGGAACAAAACCTGTCACTGTCCCAAAGCCGTTACGTAACCCCCTTGAGCAGCTCCTGGAAATGAAGTTATTTCACCTCCAGGAGGTCAGGTGTGATCAAGGACCATGATTTGAGGGTTTAAAAAAGTTAGTGTTGAACCCTGGATGCATCTAAACCTGGAGGCCTGGAAGTAATTCCCAGCTGCTCCATCTGAACACAAACTCTGACTCCAAAACAGGGTTAGCAGGGATACTGAAGTTCCCTTGGTGCCTTCTAAACATTACTTTTTCCCATGTAGTTCCAAAACTACAGTTGTTTTTCTGGTCAAAACAACAGTTTGGGTTTAATGGATGCTTGTTTGTCTGTGACCTGCTTCCACCTTTTCTCCCTGGCTGTCCTGAGGCCAGGCAGACTGGCAGATATTGTTCCTCCCTGCATTACTGGAGAATGCCTAAGGCTGGGCTCTTTGTAGTGAAGGCAAAAACCCCCAGATTTAAGAACCTGTGAGAATGCAGGTTGATCCTGGACAGTGAAAGCAGACAGTTCACTGCCTATGCCCAGCTCCCTCTTCATCCAAAACGGGGGAACATCAGGAGAGGGCATTAGCAGGGCTAGAATGGAACAAATCCTGAAGGGAGTTCAGTCTGTGGGGCTGTTGGCAGGACAGCTTTTGTCTTACTATCAAGGATATGAATGTAAAGGGGAAATATAAAAATAGAAGAACTGTGTGTTAATGACACAAGAACTGCTGCTGGGTTATTTGGTAACTTCCACTCTTTGCTGGTGATCCCAGGATGTTCTCCCTGGTTTTGGCTCTGTGTGCACACACAGGACAGGGCCTTTCCATCACACAGCTCTGCCATGGAACCATTCTGGCACTTTAAATAGGGAATGGTGATAAGATTTCCTCTGCATCTGTGAATCCCATTTTTCCTGTGGCTGGATAACTATGGCATGTGATGTCTTACTATTTATTAAACCTGGGCTCCTGGGGTTAATGGTGCCAACCTGGCTGGTTATCTGGATCCAACCCAGCCCAGCTGCTGTGTTGATTTGAAAAGGAGTTTTAGCTACTTCTACTATGGAACCAGTTACCACACTGACCTTGTAATGGTGACTGTATTAAATTTTGACCCCTAAAAGCCCTCCTGCATCTTTTACATTTGCCTAAAGTTCTGTTGCCTTCCCTCTCTCGTGCATCTCCCATTGACAAGGTATTGAGAGGAGGTGCCAGCAGGACAGGACAGCAGTCAGAGTGCCCAAGGCTGACTGGTTTCCTCCAGGCAAAGCTGCCCAAACCCACAGTGATTTTTCTCCGAGCCTGGAGTGCACTGGCCATGCACAACAGATGGTGAGGAAACTTGCTTTAGAGATCTCTGAAACCTCCTGTCGCTGGCACTGACCTGGAAGGTAAAGGAGGTACAACATCCTCTGAGAGCTGTGGAAATGTGAGCCTGCAAGGTTCATATTTATCATGTCTTGTACACAAGCTGATCCCCTGGAGCACTGAGTGAGCAGTGACTGCACTGCTGGCTGAGGAAGTTCATACCTGCACTCTCCAGCCTGGGACAGAGCTCCTTCTACAAACCTTCCTAGGAAAGAACTGACAGTTGTCCACCAAATCATATTTTCTTTTCAGTAAGACTTGGGATTAGCAGCTCTAGGGGTGAATGGGATTAACAGCACAAAGTGGGGATAAATGGATATCATTCCCTATTCAAAACCATGAAAAATGAGGGAGGAGAGAAAAGCCATAGGCTGGAATTCCAAGACCTGTGTCTTTTTAACCAGGTTTTAAAAAGCAAACATTTTTCAATAAATAAATATAAAGCTGACAGTCATCAAAGCACTTGCTGCTTCTATGTAGAAAGAGCAAGAAAATGAATGTAACATGCTGCAAATTCATTTGAAGTTCCTTGCTAATAGGAGAGATCACTGCAGTGAAAGCCTGCACCAACTGAATATGGCACCTAAACAGATCCCATTTGACTAGTAGCAAGCACAAGAAAAGAAAAGTTTCTATTTAACAGTGTTCCTGTAAAAGAAACCACTAGAACAGGTGCTGAGACCCCCTGAGAGCAGCTGAGCTGTGGTCACTGCAGGTCGAAAGGAACAGTGCACAGGGGACCACAAACAACTCTTATTTTTTCTGTTTCTGACCCGCTGCAAAAGAAATTCTCTGCTGTCCTCACCTGCCAGCATTTGAGACACCTCTGTGCCATAGTGGTGAGATGGAGTCTCAGGTCTAAGCTTCCATAGGGAGGGAAATAGAAAAAATATATCAAATATATTAAAAAGAAAGAGACAGAGCAAAAAAGACCCCAAAAGAAAACTGTTGTTCCGAGCAGTTCTGCACAGTGCAGCTCTTGCCTCTAAAAACTACTTACTCTGGTGGTGTTTCCCCAGGATCCCAGAGAGGGAAATGAGCCCACTCAGCCACTCCCAGCAGCAGTTCTGCCACGGATCAAAGCTGAGCCTGTGGACTGTGAGCTCTGGTCCTCCTTCCCTGATGCTTTCACCTTCCCTCACTACACAGAGAATGCAAACAGAAAGGAACCTGCAGCACGCCAGGGCACTCAGAGGGTATTTCTTGCTGTGAGAATCAGTTCACTGCGAGGATTTGGGGACTGATTATACAGTAATGAGAAATAAAGAGGGTAGTCTCCGTGTAGCCATGGGGACTGGAATCTAGGTCATGTTCTCAAACCAAATAGGTGAGATGGGAATTTACTACTTGTTTTGTTGTGTGACACCACGACAGGCTCAGGTTTTTACAGAATTCTTTGGCATTGGGAGCAACAGATGCCAAGAGGTGAAGTACAGGGGCCAGTGAGAGCCTTTGACACTCTTGACAGACCCAGCACAGTAACAGAAGCTGTGCTTTGGACTCCCAGGGGAATTTGGAACAGCCTGTTGGTTTGGAGCAGCAGGAAGACTGGCAGCTCTGTGGCTGGTGGAACAAGGAATTCCTCCTCCCAGGGTTAAGGCAGTGGTTGCTGCACCTCAGCTTCCAGCTGCTGACCTGAAAACTTCACAACCTCCAGGTCACACAGGTCTGCTAAAGGTGACAGACAAACAAAACCATTTCATCTGCCTCCTTCACAGCAATGTGGTACTTGCTCTACATTATTTGCAAGTAGGTTTTCCTTCTGCATAAGAATCCAGAGTGTGTGGAGAACTGATGGGCTGTTCCCCACCTGTCCTACTGCATTGGTGCCCAGCAATAGAGCCAGTTTTTTTCTTTCCTTGGGCAGGAAGTAATTCCAGGTCATCATCATACACCCTCTGCATGAACAGTGATCAGTATTAATTAGAGAGTGTAGGTTTTTTCCTCTGTGTGATTCTGTTGCACATAAAAGTCACCTGTCCCCTCACACAACACTTCTGGAGGACAGGAGATGCCATTTAACCTTGGTGCTCTGCTTTCCCACGCTGTAACTAGAATGGAATTAATTTTTATATCTTGTTTGGGGGGTGGTTTTTTGTATTTTTTGTTTGTTTGTTTGTTTTAATCTATTTATTCTGCAGAACCTATTTATTCTTTTAAAAAACCAGCCAGGCTTCTTGTAAAGGGCATCTCTTGATATTTAGTGCTTGGCTGCAGCAAGAAAGCCTTTGATGACATTTATATATATCTACCTCATTGCTCCCACAACATATTCAAGGAGTTGCTTCTCCATACCAAACAAAACTGTAAATGAAATAACAAGTGTGAGGGTGCTATAAATACCCAGCTCGTGTTATTTTGGTCAGGGCCATCCCATTATCTGTAATAACTCCAGCTGTCCCAAGGACAATGTCACACACTCTGTATCCTTCTGCTCTGTCATCTGAAGGAGCAGATGCATTTCACTGGCAAGCTGTAAATGCACTGATTGCTTTGAAGCCCCAGTCAAGGGACAGGTGCTGGATTCTAGACAGGCTTGTCTTAACACTGAAAAAATAAGGATGAAAATGCAGGTCTGTACCCTGAGGAGTAGTTTGGCTCAGTAACATGGGAAGTGTGAAAAGGCTGGAATTCCAGAACCATAATATTAAAAAGAGAGGCTTGTTTTTAAAAAGAAAAAAAAAATACATGTGTCTTTTTATAAAGAAGTGATGCAGGAGGGTCCCAGGTGGAGTTTATTTCAATGAAATTCCCTCACAGGTTTTAGAACAACATGACTTTGAGACACCTTATGTTAGAGCAGTGCAACTCCACTGAGTCAGGCACTTAAACTCCACAATGGATCCCATGCAATTAGGCTGCTGCTGGATCCCAAGGAACACTGTGCTTTTGTTTCTGGACCAGGCACAGGTTCACTCAGCTGAAATCCTTCCCCTAGAAAACAGATGCAGCCCCAAACCAGTCTGTGTGCAAGCAATTAATAATTCCCTTGTAAATGAAACCAGGCTGACAGTGCTGCAGTGCTCCAGAGCTGCCACTTCCCAGCTCAAAAAAGCCCAGGAAAACCCACATTCCACTGGCATTCCTTCTGCTGGGGCTCTGTTTCTCACAGGGACTGTGTGATTAGGAGTTTTCAAACCATCCAGGGCACTGCCATTGCCTTCTCCTGGCTCTGCCCCGGGTTTTCCCTGCATGTGTTGACTGATGCACTATTGTACAGTGAATTTTGGGTTATATTCCTCCAGCTACAGACAAGCACCAAGAGGTATCACTTGCTCTGGATCTGTTTTGAAGGACTCCTCGTGTCTTTCCATCTCTGCTCATTTCTAATCCCTACAGCTTTTACTGCAGAACTTTTGGAACTCATTAGCACTTCAGTGTCCTGGTGTGTCTGTTATTTCCCAGCTATAATTTTGGATGCTGAATTAAAATAAAAATAAATAAATAAATAAAAAATAAAAATAAAAGAAGCCTCAGTTCTGTTGGGTCTTTGT